AGTCTGTTAATTTAATATAAATGCACAAATGTATTCTTTGTTAAGTCCTTTAGAAAAAAAATGGCAGAAACTTAGTAATTATCATTATTACCATGTTACTCACTTGTAATACCACTCACTATAATTGCTATAAAACTTCATAAAAAGAAAGTTCTATAGGAAATGTTCATGTATGTTATGTATCAATAATACAGATTCCAATGCACTAAGTCAGATCTTTATACTAAAAGTATGGTAACTTTGAGATGAAAATCCAGGATAATTAAACCAATGAGCTAAGGCAGACTTGAAGTTCGTTTTCTTTTATTATGCTGCAATTCTATATGTATGTTTACATAGAAATAAATCCCACTGAGATCGGTAAGACTTGGTCCCAGGGAGCTGAAAATCTAATTATGCCGAAGCTTTATTCAAAAAATCAAGGAAAGCTTATGATGGTTCCCATTTATGATTTTAGTTTTAACACCCCAAATACAGAAACAGAACACTTCTAATTTCTTTTTTTTTCTGTCTGTCTCTTTCTTACACACACACACACACACTCTTTGATATGCACAAATTGTTCCACAAAACTAAGTTGTCTAGTAGAACAGGGCTTAGTAAATGGTTTTGGGATGTATTTTCATGTGTTTTTAACTAGAAGCAGTCATTTCAGTGTTTTGATGTAATTAAAAATAAAGTTTGTAACAGACAAAGATTTTAATTCTGTGTTGGGAGACATCATGCTTTTGTGTTTGCCAAAATAGTTTTAAAGTCTGCCACATGCAAATGACCTCACCATCCCAGAAGCTAGGACTGCGGGGCTCCCAGATCACTAAGGCTATATTTCAAAGAAACTTTTTTTAATGATGGAAATTGTATTCCTCTGTAGACTATGGGAATCCCATTTCCAGTCTGAGACCTGAAAAGTCCATCATCAGGAAAATATCATTTTTCTGTGAAAGGCCATTATTCTCATTCTCCTCCCAATTTCCATTTAAAAATGCTATACTGCCTTACACATTCTCATCTCTCCCAGCGTCTTCCTCATTCTCCTACAAACTACCTCGTGATTGCTTCTCATGAGTAGATCAGTGCTGCCTCTAGCTGGCCAATGAGAGAGCAGAAAAATGGTGTTCTCCAGACAGTGTTCCACTATCTTAACTATTCTGCCGTGGTTTTGAAATGAAGCCAATGCCATACTGTAAGGCAATCAAAAATTATGGACAAAAGATGGTGACTTCATTCCAGAAGTGGGAACTCTGAGGATCCCTGTGCACCACCAGTACACAATTTTATTCATGGTTGGAGAAGCAGCTGAACTGGAAAATAATCTGCTTTCTTGCAAAAGGACTCAGGAAGCTTTATGGGTTCATCAAGATTCATCATAGCTATGGTACAAACAAGAGCAAAAGAATTCAAGAACGAACTTAGGTTGCAAATATTTGGGGTTGCAGATTGCCTATTTCTGGTCTCATATTTTTGAATTGATAAAAATGTTTACAAATGAACCGATATAATAGATAGGGAATTGTTATTTCTATTACTTCATTCTTCTGCTCCTTTAAGTGAAATACATACAAAAAATAAAATAATTTGTATATACAAGTGTAAATCTGACACTATAGGCCACAATCCATCTAGAAGTAAACAAACAAAAATTTTTGAAGACAAAAGATGTTCATTATATATTAATTTAATGTCAGCCACAGCCATGAGCTTTAGATCTCAGACTGAAAAGTCCTATGTGGACATTAATGGGAGATTTCCCTCAAATTCTGGGAGCACACTACAATACTTAATAAAACTTCTTATTTATAATCTGGTTGGATGAATCAACAAGATTACTAAAGAACATTTTTTGAAACTCAACACTGGACATGGATAGACCTAATTCATAAATCACTTAAGCATAAATTATATGATAGTAAAAACTAGAATGAAGAGAGTGACATGCAATCAGAATAATATACAAGTAAAAATTGCCAAGTGAGACTAAATTGATCAGATTTCTATGACAAAATCTACCGTCTCCAGTTCCTAGACACTAAGAGGAACTTGGCTATATGTAGCAATAACCCCCAAAATTAGCACTGTAGTCATCAGTACTAAAAGAACTACCCCAGCTTTTGATCAGTATGTGCAATGTCTATCTTTAAAACAATGTGGAATTGGGATAGGAATATTTTTTAAAGAACATTAAAAAGTGCGCCTCAAGCTGGAAACAAGTAGGAAGAATTAATAAATTAAACTTTATTTAAATGTAATTACATTTCTATTTAATTAATTGGCATAATTGCAATACATTGCAATACATGCATTTAAATAATTTCCCCCCTCTTGGCCCAGAACGTGAACCCCTTCCAGAAAGTTTAGAAAAACAGCAGAATGTTCTACTGTATTCCTATTTCAACTTGCCCATCATTGAAGTAATCTTTGTTGAGCTAATCTGTGCTTCTAGAATCCAAAGTAAACTGAGTGACAACTTCAGGTAGTCCTTGATTCACAACCACAATTGAGCCCAAAATTTCTGTTGCTGAGCAAGACAGTTGTTACTCCATTTTACCATCTTTATTGTCGTAGCTGTTAAGTGAATCACTGCAGTTGTTGTCAGTAACACAGCAGTCAAGTGATTGCGGCTTCCCCGTTGACTTTTGTTTGTCAGAAGGTTGCAAGAAGTGATCACATGACTTTGTGACACTGCAACTCATAAATGAGCCACTTGCCAACTGTCTGAATTTTGATCATGTGATCATGGGGGTGTTGCAATGATCGTAAGTGTGAAAAATGGTCCTAAATCATTTTTTTCAGTGCTGTTATAATTCTGAACGCTCACTAAACAAATAGTTTTACGTCAAGGACTACCTGTGTAGAGTGTGTGATGTTTATTTCTAGAATGCTTCCTAAGAGAAAGATGTCTGGTGCCACATTGTTGAATCATTTTGGTATCGAGCAAGAGTAATTTATTATCCCATGTTTAGTAATGTACTAGCAACACTGTGTATAATTTATCTTGGGAGTCGATATTTGTTTGTTTGTTTGTTCATTTGCAATATATCCTGGAAGTTTCACTGAAGAGTGGTGTAAATTAATCCAAAGGTACTTTTTATCTTTGGTGAATACNCATTTACAATAGAGTAGCCCTAAAACAAGCTATTATCTATTTCATTCTCAGAGTTATGTATACTTTTTAATTACTTTCCAGGCTGATTGCACCAAACATATGCTGATTAGGTTATCATCATTCAATTTCCAATTTTGTGATTCCACAACCTCCGAAAGTGAATTTCCAAGTTTGCCTCTTAGGGGTTCTGACTCACAACAGAGAATCTGCAAGTTGTATGAATTAGGTCCATACAACTGTATACCTTCTTTATGTCAGCTGCATTGTAATATGGAAATTTCATGCTCAGAGTGCAGTGCAACCTATCATCTAAATGCCTGATGGAGTCTGGGTTAGGAAGGAAACATACTGGGATATATATATATACACATACATACATATATTATATAAACAGGAAAGTTTTCAAGATTGTTTTTCTGTATCCAATTACACTAATGCCACTGCACAGCCACTAGAAATATACAAAGGCTAAAATGGGGATTGGAATCCGGAGGCTTGGTGGATCCAGGTATTTAGTTTACATACCACAGAATTGCAGCTTCCCAAAAGAAATCTTTTCAAACCATAGTTTATATAGGGTCACCTCCATTTATGTGGCTGTAAAACCAACATTACCATACATTATTTGTGTAACTCTCATACTCCAGTTGGATTTCATCACATCCTGGATTAAACGGACAATCTGAGGGGATATTTATAATCTATATATTAGAGTCGCCTTGTGGTGTGAGATGGGGCAAACAAATTTAAATAAATAAATAATAAACACTGAAATACAGTTCTTCCCTTGTTGAAAGCCAATGCAGGAATAAAAATCTGTTCTATCTCAGGACCCCGCATGAGATTTCCACCCTCTAGTCTCCTTTTGCAAATTTGGCAAGCCCCCTGGCTTAGACCACAGGTCCAAGGAACACCATATGCTTTTAACCACTTTTATCCTACAGATCTTCAAGGCTGATCCACAAGACCCTAGGTGGGTTTGTTACAGGGGAACCTGCCACCCACCCTCACCCCTTGCTTGCTGTCCCGTCCCCCCACCTCATTTTTTTTTCCTTACAAGTTCCCAAGCAGAAGTTTTAGAAGTTTAGAAAACAATTTTCAGCCAGGAGTAGTGACATGAAGGACTGGCCCTTTCTAAAAGTTCTCCAATGAAACAGTAAAAGTCTTTTTTTTAGTCCCCCCCCTCCCACTCGCAAGTCCACTTGTGAGGAAAACAAGTACAAATACACGACTTCAGTAGGAAACCTGCCTCTTGTCATTTTTTTTAGCAAGTTCCTTGATGGAACAGAGAACAACTGTCTTTAGTTTTGTTTTGTTTCCTCCGGGTGAAGTTGGCAAGACTTCGGCCGGTTTCCCCTTCAAGCGACGAGAAAAACAGTAACATGGTGGAATTGTATTTTTTGCGGCGGAGGAAGGGATTTTTTTGTTTTTGTTTTAAAAAGGGGAACCCGCAAAGCCGGGGCCGCGAACAACACGGCTGGAGCCAGCACAAGGGCAAAGGGGTTTCCGCTTCATTTCCAGCCCATCTCTTCCAGCCGCGACTCTGCCCCAAGCCCTTGATGAGGCGGCTCCTGCTCGCCCTTTAGGAAGTAGTGAGGAGAAACACCCGCAAACCCGAGCTACTCCCCAAGGGCTGCGCTCCGCTGGCTTTGAAGGAGGCGGAGGAGGGAAGGGAGCGTCGAAGGCGAAGCGATGCCTCAAGCCCAGCAACGGGCGGCGCTTCGAGCTCCCTCCCTCCGGTCCCCAGGCTCAGCCTATTGTGGAGACGGCTCTTTCCCGGTCCCAGAAGAACCGCTATATTTAACGCGCTGCAAATAAAACGCTCCTCTCGCCCTCCCTCTCTCCCCCCCGTCCCGTCTCCCCTCGAGGGCGGTGCAGCCGCTGCCTCGCCACCAACCTTTGCCGCCGGCAGCCTCGCTGCTCTGGTTAAACTCGAAAAGGAAATCGAAGTCAAACTCGGGATCTTCCTCCAGGCCGCTCATGGCTCGACGGGCAAGAGACCCGGCAGGGCTACCAGCGCGCCGCCGCCTCCTCCTCCTCCTCTCCCGGGGCTGCAAAGGGGCCGGAACGTCCCCCCCCCCCCCCCCCCGTCCCGCCTCCCCTCGAGGGCGGTGCAGCCGCTGCCTCGCCACCAACCTTTGCCGCCGGCAGCCTCGCTGCTCTGGTTAAACTCGAAAAGGAAATCGAAGTCAAACTCGGGATCTTCCTCCAGGCCGCTCATGGCTCGACGGGCAAGAGACCCGGCAGGGCCGCCAGCGCGCCGCCGCCTCCTCCTCCTCCTCTCCCGGGGCTGCAAAGGGGCCGGAACGTCCCCCCCCCCCCCCCCCCGAGTCCCGCAGACACCTGTTGCAACGGGAGCGCTGCGGGCGATCGACTGCTGGCTTGGCCGGCAAGGGAACTGGCGGCCTCGGGGGTCGCGCCGGCTTCTCGGCGATTATGCACCCCGGCCGCCTGTGTGACTGGCAGGTCCCAGGACGCCTAGGCAGCCTCTCCCCGGGTCGGTGCAACGTGACCTTTGACGAGCGCGGCTCGCTCCCTTATCTCGCTATCGCTGCCTGTCTGCGAGATCCTCCTCCTCCCTTTGTTTATCTATACCCGGAAACATCAACAATCTAGTTGCTCTGCTCCGCGA